GCAGGGCTGTGGACAGATGGTTCAACGGCGACAAAGAGAGCCCACCCCCAGCACTGGGGTTGAGAGGGGAAGTCCTTTATGAGGTGGACATGAAGTCAGAGCCAGCAGGGCCAGCCGTGGAAGACGACCTTCCTCAAGTAGCAGTCCGTCTGGATGGGAATCAAGTCATCACGCTTCAGCGCTTCATCCAGGAGAGGCTTCATACGCCTGCCCTGATTGAAGTTACTATAGAAGCTGTTTTGTCGGACAGAAAGTGTCGACAGATCAAAAAACAATGTGAGCTTGCAAAACATCTGGGGTGCACACCAGTCCTTTTCTTCAACGGAATGGAGGATGCCAAGATTGCCATTGATGTGGAGACCCTCCCAGTGTGGATTTCCCGCGAAAACGTTGAACATTTTGCCTTCCGACAGGCGCAGAAGAAGGCGGAGAAGGTGCAGGCTGCAGAAGCGAGGGCGCTGGCTGCAGAGATGGCGCTGCAACAGCTTCAAGGCTGGGTATCAAACCGATTGGACCAAGAATCAAAAGCAACACTCTTTTCTTATTTTCCATTCTCTTGAGTTGTATGTGTGAGGTACTCGCTGGTTAGTTCCAAGAAGCCAGCATGTGATGTTGCGGTAGATTCCCTGAGCGCGCGCGCACAAGCACACATGAAACTGAGGCCTGCGTGTTCAGGAGAGCGTTCGTGCCTGTTGCATTCTGCGCAGACTGCACATGTGAAGAATGGAAGACAGGTAGATGCATGCTTTCCTCATTTTACTTCTCTAGTGCACTGGCTTCTGTGGATTTTGATTGTGAGAATGAGATTGCACATCACCTGCGAGGCAGTGCCCCAGCGCAACCGACAGTCATTTGGGCCTGTCAACTTCGCAAGGACTACGACTTCGATGAAGCCTTCATGTTCATATTCAAGTGCTGCTGTCGAAGTGTTGGGTTTCCGTTACGGTCTCTTGTAGCTGCCCAACCCCAAAGCCGCATCTAAGATTTGCAAGGGTTTGTTGCACTTCTTGTGTCCAGCATTTCTCAGTTTCGCCAGGCATAAGTTGAATGGATGCAATTGGCATGAACTGGATTGCATGCAGTGCTTGTGCGATGCAAGGACGGGACAGCGATTGAGGTCGCCGGCAATGCCTTTAAACTCAAAGGGGCCATTGCAGACGCGGCGACCTCAGCGGCGCCACTTTCTGAAGCGTTCCTGCAGCTGTCTTTGTCTTCGCGATTTTTCTTCATTCGTCGCGGGGATGTCAGGTGGCTGACCTGAAGGACGCCAACCGCTAAGAAGCGGGTTGCGTTGATTCTTGGTCCACTCTTGTTTGTGATGAGTGTTGTGCCCTAATAGCTTGAGGCAATCAAGGAAAAGAAGCCAGAGACTGTGTTGTGCGATGCGGATGAGCTGGACATATACAGCCGGAAGGATCGAGAGCTTCGCAAGTCAGAACAGTCAAAACACACTCACTCTCTCACCTCCAAACCCCCTTGCTGTGTCTCAGCTTGACTTTTCAGGACGCGGGCTGGGTGGAAGAAGATGAAGAAGCAGAAGTCAATTGCGGCAAATCTAAGCCTTGCACTTGGTTTCGATACCTTTCAACTTTGGGTATTTCGCAGTTGCCAAGCTTTGAGGTCAGATTGCTACGGCTTCTTGCTACCGTCAGCTGGAGCCGTGTCAGATTAGGCACCTCCCTTAGCTTCGCGTCAGTTTCTTACATTTGGTGCACTTGCATCGCCCTAGTTGGCTTTGGTCTCTTGTCCTGCGACGTTCTCAGCTGAGCAATGCAGGCACGCATTGTTTCATCTCGTACCGTAAACCGGGCACAGTTGTTTCATTGCAGCGTTGCTTACTTTTTTCAGGGTTACGGAAGTGAACCGTCCTCCAAACTACGGTGTTTTGGTCACTTAGAGAATCCTTGCGAGGGGCACAGGGCCAGCAACGGTTCGCCGATCAATAGCTGTTTCACCAAAGCAACAGTACGGGGCAATTTGAGAAGGGAGGAGGAAAGCGCGCTTGAGTTGCTTTGCTAAGGCGGTGCTCATTTGCGAGCATGTTTTGGAATGTTCCAAGCACAGCAGTGATGGTTCGAGCGCATCCGAGAGGGGGACCGCGCTGTGGAGTGGCAGCAGCGAAGCGGCGCGGCAGCAGCGAAGCAGCGCGGCAGCGGCGAGGCGGCGCGTTGCAGAGCTGCCGGCAGTAGCAGAGCGGCGCGGAGCGGCGCGGCAGTGGCGGAGCGGAGCAGCGCGGCTGTGTAGTGGCGCGGCTAGCGAAGCGGTGGGGGGGAGTAGGACAGGCACTGAGCGGCGCGGCAGTAGCAGAGCGACGCCCCCGTAGCGGAGCGACGCGGTGCGGCGCAGTGCGGCAGTAGCATGCAGTGGCGATCGAAGTGGCTCGGCAAAAGCGAAACGGCGCTGCAGTAGCGGAGCGGCGCGGCAAGAGCGGCGGCGCGGCAATAGCAAGGCGGCGCGACAGTAGGGAGCGGGCAGTAGCGGAGCCGTAACTGAGCGGCGCGGAGTAGCAGACAGTAGGCAGTAGCAGAGCGGCGCGGCAGTAGCAGGCACAGCAGAGGCAGAGGCAGATCGGCGCGGCAGTGTAACCGTGTAGCAGAGCGGCGCGGCGATTGCGACGCAGCAGTCGTGAAGTGGTGAGGCGGTGGCGCGGCAGTAGTGGAGCAGGGCCGTTTTAGGCGGCAGTGGCAGAGCATGCGCTGTGCTCCCACCGTCCAAATTCTAGATTTTGGGTTTTGGTCGATTGTGGGCTCCCGAACCATCCAACATCCAGATTTTGGGCGATTTTGGCGCTCACCCACCGTCCAAATTCCGTCGATTTTGGCTCGTCCAACTCCAAAGTTCGCATTTTGTGCGATTGGACATGGGTTAGTCGATCCTAAAAGAGAGGGATGTTCCGTGCGATTTTGGCGCTCCCACCGTCCAAATTCCAGATTTTTTGTCATTTTGGCGCTCCCAAACAATCCAAAATCCAGATTGTGTGCGACGAGCCGTCCAAAATCTCACCAACCGTCCAAATTTCTAGATTTTTTTTCATTTGGGCGCTCCCGAACAATGCAAATTGAAGATCCCACCCTCCAAACTCAAGATTTTGGGCGATTATATGTCCGAAGCTTGCACGTCTTGATTGTTTGTAGTCTTTGGAGCTTGAGCCGGTCCTTGCGCCGAGCCCGAACCCTTAAAACCCTACAAACCCAAACGCCGTAAAGATCCAGGCACTCTCAACGGCAGTGTGATTCTGAGCCCAGGAATGGCGATTTTTAAAATGCGCCCAAATGCCTGGCACGTGACCTTTGGTATCGAAGCATTTTTTCTCGTGGAAAATGGAGTGCGGGCGGAGTGGGGGGATATTCCAGGAAACAGGGAAATGAATGCTCCAGGAAAACGCGGGAAAATGGATTGCGGGCGGAGGACTTACAGAAGTGCCCTAAGTCAGGGCTGGTTGAGCGGGCTTAAAGGGGGGTTTAAAGGTCCTCGTGGGAGGATACTCTCGTGGGGGGATGCTCCAGGAAAAACGAGGGAAAATGCAGTGCGGGCGGAGTGGGGCAATACTCCAGGAGACCGCGGGACAATGGACTGCGGCGGAGCGGGGGGGATACTCCAGGAAATCTCGGGAAAATGGAGTGTGGGCGAAGTGGGGGGATACTCCAAGAAAACGCGGGAAAATGCATGGAGTGCGGGCGGAGTGGGGGATATTTTCAGGAAAACGCGGGAAAATGGAGTGCGGGCGGAGGAGTAGAAGGATACTCCAGGAAAAGACGGGAAAATGGAATTCGGGCGGAGTGGGAGGAATACTCCAGGAAAACGTGAAAAAATGGAGTGCGGGCGGAGTGGGAGGATGCTCCAGGAAAACGCGGGAAACTGCAGTGCGGAGTGGGGGGATATTTCAGCAAAACGCGGGAAAAGAGTGCATGCGAAGTGGGGGATACTCTAGGAAAATGCAAGAAAATGGAGTGCGGGCGGAGTGGGGGGGATACTCTAGGAAAACGCGGGAAAATGGAGTGCGGGCGGGGTGGAGAGGATGCTCCAGGAAAATGCTGGAAAATGATGGTGGGCGGAGTGGGGGGATAATGCAGGAAAACTTCGGAAAAATGACGGCGGACGGAGTGATATCCAGGAAGAGGGAAATGACGGCGGGCGGAGTGGGGGGATACTTAGGTCGCGGCAGGAAAAAAGTGACAGCAGACCGAGTGGGGGGACACTCCAGGAATGAGTGCCCATAAGTGCCCCCTCTCTTATATATTTTGATGAAACCTTCGCTAACGAACCAAGCAAGGGAAATAAGGGAAACAAAGGTTACATATCTCATAAACGTTTCCCCAATTTCTCAAGCTTGTTTCGCACTACGTCATCGGGCATGGGGCTCAGGTTTCCCTGCGTCTCCATGACTCCGTTTGGAAGTCCGAAATGTGTAAAATGGGCATGGAATTTCTGCTTGTGTGCCATAGACCAAGACAAACTATTTCTAATTCGAAACGGGCCTTTTCTGGACCGTTCCCCCTTTTGGGAGCTCGAAATGGCAAAATGGGCATGGAATTTGTGCACAGCCGCAAGCGCAGCGAAGTCTCTTAAGCAAGAGGATCTTTTGCAAGTTTTGCTTAGAGACCCAGCGGGCACAGCAAGCAAGTTGTTCGAGGACGATTAAAAAAGCCAGAAGCGCTGCAACTTTGGTCAGATGGTAGACTAGCAGTAGCAGCAGTTGAGTAATAGTGAAGTGGCAACGGTTAAAGCAGGCGGATGGTGAGAGAAGAATCGCAACCCCTGAAGGTAGGTCCTTTACATTAGACGCGACCTCTCAGGCGGTAGGCTTGTAGGTGTCGGAAACATTTGCCGTTATCTTTAGAAGTTTATATTAGAGGCGACCTCTCAGGTGATATGTTTGCAGGTGTCGGAAGCATTTGCTGTAATCTCTAGAAGTAAGCCGGCTTTGAGCTAACTTTATATTGGACGCGACCTCCCAGGCGGTAGGTTTATAGAGGTAAATCGGCCTTGCGGTTACCTCTATATTAAACACGACCATCCAGGTGGCGCTGCGCGCGGGCCGTAATCTTTTGTTTTGATTTCTCTACCGCCCGAGAGGTCGTGCCCGGCCTCTCCGCCTGTTCTTGCTTGTCTCCGACTTGGCAGAATGAGTTTAGGGGCAGGCTGTTTGGCCTGCGTGAAACTCAGAAGGTTGAGCACTATCATCTATCATCCAGCCGTTTTAAACACGTCTAAACGCGGAAGTCCTAAACTCTCATGTGAAGCGTGCGTCAGCAATTGTCACATTGGAAGACTTGCACAAGGCTGCGCCGATTTCTCGTCAGGGAATCATCAACTCAACCAGCAGCTCAGGAGACGCTGAGATTGATGGCGAGACTTACCAGGTGACGCCAGGAAGTTGCGCGGGGATGGCTCGGGGGCCATTGAATCTCGGATCAACCTCAGCTTGATCCAACGTCCCTTGTTACCAGACACTTTGGCATCCGCCAAGGCGCCAAAATTCGACCCGTAGATAATTTCCTGGAAAGCGGATTAAACGGAACGACACGATGATACGGTTTATACTGCGGACTGCGTGGCGTAGCAGCAACTTTGGCGTGTCGCGTGTCCACAGACGCCAAATGCAGGAGTCATAACCTGTGCATGAGATCATATAACTTACACAAGGCCCACAAGGACATGCCGTCGGCAGCATTAGCCTTGTCCAATAGTTTCCTCAGTGTTTTTCATCCAGACTTGCCCGGAGCCCGTTTGTTCAGGCAGATGGTGCTTCCCTCTGGATCAAGACACAGCGTGCGTGCCTTCTGTAGGGTTTCATTCGGAACTTTGGAAATTGGCGGTAGAAGTGATTTGATGGTTACGCATGAATGTGCAGTTTAACGTTTCTGTGGTGGCCGAACTAAAAAAACCCTTGAAGTCTTCATTCGATGGAACTGCCTACCTACTCTTCTGAGGATAAAGAGATTGCTTTGGTTGCCTTGCTAAGATCCTGACTGCAAAGCGACCTTGCAGAGTCGCAAATCGGCCAGGTGTACATGTGCAATACAGACAGGCCGTCACCGCGAGCTGTTTAATGCGATATCCAAACACAGCGAGCAAAAGTACCTGTCCCGCAAGGACGGGGAAAGTTGCGCGGATTGCTTGAAGCGGAGGTTTCTGGAGAGCTGGTCATGATGGCGTACAAACAGCTCGGAGGGCACGTACTTTCTGCAGGAGGTCAGATCGATTACAGAACGCAAGCTGCCCTCTTGACTGTGAGTGCTAGGACCGTACGATGACAACGGTGCGGGATTAGGAGGTGTTCTATTCAATGGAGCTGGAAACACCATTGGGTTCTTCAGTGAGTTTGCTTCAGAGGAGATGCGAGCTCGCGTCAGCCCGGACAGTGGAATCCCGTTTTCAAATACGAATGCTTCGCCATGCTCTGGGCCCCTTTGATTGGTGGCACCAAGGTTTCCATCTTTGCTGTCAACCAGGAACCTTAGCCAGCCTGATCAATGGAGTGTCAACCAATGG